CTCGGTGAGTGCTATTATGTTGCGGATGGGAGAAATTTGAAATGGTGTGTCAGCGTTGGGCAAGAATGAGCATCAAAGGCAGTTTTTCTTGGCAGCAATGTGCCATCCTGTGGAGTGGCCTCTTGCAAGAGTGTTAAACGGCACAATACTGACATTTTATTTGTTTACATTTCCAAAAACGATCCAACCGTCCTGAAAACATGGCTACACCGTTGCTCTTGGAATGACACTACAAATGCGGAAAATGCGGTAATCTGATTTCAAGTAATCACTTCAATTCGGTAATCACTTTCAAGATCATGACTATGATCCTGGCCATCTGCTTGAGGCCAGTCTTATGCCCAATGTCAAACGATGCCTTCGGCCAAGTGCGGTTCCTTCTATGCAACTGGGTATCGCCGGCACGCCGAAGTGAGTATGCGTGTGCTTAAAAGAACAATTCCCGTCCGTTTTATGCAGAAATCTTTAAACCCGATTCACAGTCACTAATGCATGCACAACCCATGCCGCTCTGTGCAGTTTGTAGACTATAATACAAGATTCAAACGAGACTTTCCGACCAAAATCTTGTTGACAAGGTGGGGCCTGACTACCACACAAGTGGCGCAGCCATCTATGTTACACGGGGGAAGGGGGAGGGGAGAGTCAGGGGCGTAGCCAGGGGTTGCGGCGGGAGAGGGGGGGGGGGCAAGTTTGCAAGAGCGAGTCCCAGCCCCATTGATAGTACGTCTATTACACTGTGAACTGACTAACAAACCCCACAACCGCTAATAGGTACAGTACCTACTACCTAGCGCATCAATGAGCTACCAAAATTGGTTTGCCCTGGTGCCTTAAACATTCTTTCATTTGCGTGCCGTACACGTTCGCTCTGCAATATGCGAGTCTTGTCACTAATCAAGAACTTTTGGGCTCTTCGTGTTACTGTCCATGGTAGTGTCTGAGATTTCAAATAAAGTGTATTTGCCTGGTCGCCAAAGTCGGTGATTACACACAGTAATGGCCTGGTAAAAAAACTGTTCTTGCGCCTGAAACATAGGCCTTAAACCTCACGGCCAGAGACGAATGGAGGGGGTGGGGGGGGGGGGGGGTTGGAGTCTCGGAGGGCCGTGCTGTTCTGGTGTATTTTCGCGTCGGAAAACAGTTATGGCGACGCCGGCCCTCTGGGGCAGCCGATGCACTGAAATGGGACCATGAGACAGGGCAGTCCAGCCAGATCCGTGGTTTTGGCCAGGAGCGGTAGATATCAGTATGGTGCACGCAGTGCAGTACTCGTCGGTCGTTGACCGTCCCTCTTACCCGTTCGGATTATGTCAGGTTGGACCACCAAAAAATGTGGTCCAGCGTGACAAAAAAGTGTATAAAAACAAGCATGCGACAACGAATGAATGGGCATGTCCGGGTCCAAGACGTTTTACTGTCGCAATGAGAAACAAAACTGGTGACTTGTGATAAGGTCTGATAAATGCAGCTGCTAGGTACGTGGAAGTAACTGTGTTTCGATGTGTCGCAGGTCCAAGATCCAGCTGTGGTGGAAGCGGCAGCGCATGCACACGATGTGGAGGCCGTCTACCAGCAAGCAGCCGCGATGCCTTCAGTGCCCGTCCTGAACGAAGTGGACGAAGACGACGGGGTCAACGAGTCGGGCGAAGACAAGATCCATGGCGGTAACGGCGAGTGAACCGAAAGTGGCCCCGCTGCCGCGACGGGATGGACGAGGTCAACATCGAGCAGGGGGAGCTGGCCTTCGTTGTTGGCTTTGTGGCGGCCAAATGCAAACACCTCGATCCAAGTATGGGACTGTCGACCCGAGAGGCACCACCCGCATCCATCGACGCGCCATGGCACCATGGTGCCATGGCGCGACGCACATCCATCTGCGCCTCAGATGGCTTAATCAGGCTGGGGCTGAGCGGGCTGCTGCCAGGCGCGCAGCCAAACAGGTGCGACATCAGGTGGACAGCGCGAAGTGAACATCGTTGTGCTTGTGTGAGCATGCGTAAGTGAGCTTTAGTGAGCATTGTTTGACCTTTTTTTGTCCTGCATGCTTGTGCGTCTGTCTGAGGCATGGACGGTTCCTTTGCAGATATAAGTTTTGGACTGTTTCAGACTGGTTATCATGACGCATAACTCTAGATTTAAGCTGAAAAATATATAGTAGTGTTCTCCGCCCCCCCCCCCCCCCCCCCTATTTGCTTTATGTCCTCGCCGAGCGTGCACAGTGGAGTGTATGCTGGACACAAGAATCGTTTTAGTAAAATACGGCGAATTACTATGAGTTATACGCGTGTTCGATGAATTGGCTGCATAGCATGGTGGATATGATCTTGATGAACGCCACGCGCCACGACATTCAGAGGCTTCGTCGCATAGTTGTCGCAATGTGCAATGTCCGCAATGTCCTATGTTCTACCAGGCAGCATAACACTGCCGTCGTGTCAAACTACCTCAATCGCACATCAGTGCAACCCGGCGCATCATTACGTATAGTGCTGAGGTTCAACATGACAGTTCGGATGACGATCCTGGTGCCGCTCAGTTCCTCATTTGGTAGTGGCTGGACCTTGGGCAGGTTCGCCAGCCTGCATTTAAGCAGCTGTAGGCTGGCCAACTTCAATGCATCACCATAGACTCAATGGTCGGCATCCTCAGCAAGTGGGAGTGCTATGGCACACAGGTTCCCGGTTCCTAGGCCTATATTCGCTGTTATACACCCAGTGCGGCAAAAAATCCCCTTTCATATGTCATCATAGTTCTTCTTGAAGTGCGCTGCGGCGATCGCCAGATGCATTTGCCAGAACGTACTCCGGAGTAGCACACATGAAAATAATGCAGGCGGAGCGGTAACGACAGGGTGCGACTTTGTGACGTCACCGTACGAGTGAAGGGAAAGTGCCGGAAAAATCCCCGGATGATCATACCTTATCACATGGCCTTGGGCCGCCTTAAAACCAAACCCGGCCTTTGACAGGCTCAATGGCTTTAAAGCAGTGTGCCCATGTTTCCATGGCAACGCCGGTTCGTTTAGCCACGCCCATTAGTAGCTCCCTCGTGGAGTCACACCAGCGGTGATCATGAGGAATGGAGGTTGTTGACGATTTTAAGCGTGACCGGATATAGTTAATCATTGTATATTAAAAATAACCATTGATTTTTCCATATGAGAGACTATGAAAGAAAGAGCACCGCGTGCTAAAGGTCCAAGGCTGCAAAAAAAAACTACAGGCATGAAATGCGGACGCGAGGGTGTCGTGCCGAGGTGCTGAAGGGCGGCGGGGATCAGAGACCATGATCCCACACTTTTTAAAAGAATGTTTAAGATTTCTTTTGTCTGAGACTCTCTCACGCCTGTATGATGCCCTGAGACCTGCAATCTGCAACACCATCGCCTTCACTTCCGCAGGTTTGACTGCAGCTTCCCTGCGTTATTACGTCTTACCTCTTCATGCCTACGGTTATCTGCCACGTGAACATCTGCTATGTATATGTCAGCACTGACGAGCATCCGGGATGCAGATATATACCAGCGCTTAGGAATATTGGCGTGGGGTAGTAATTGCGATGCGAACAGAACAATAACGGTTCCATCAAACATTTGCACGCACGCATATGTGTCATACAGGCATCAGCAAGCGTTAGCATTACGAACATCTGCGTCCGAACACTCGCCCACGATCATCTCCGACACAAGCATCCGCTTTACAAATGTTTGTCCAGTCACCATGACGCCGCTGTCAGAATCGAAGCACCCGTCGAGTGCAAAATTTCTACCCAGTCACGCGCGTTGCGACTGTAGGAATGTTTGGGCGACCAGAAAGGCAATCTGTTGGGAGGTCGGCGAACAATGCGACGGTTTTGTGCTTGGCGGACCTGCAATCCTTCACCCGGTGGAATGACGTGGACCAATTCCGCCTGATTGGATGCCACTCCACCGACCCGCGAGGAAGCTGAAATGCGGCTCCACTTGCTGATGTTTTGTTACCGCTCCAAGCGCATCGGAAAGCAGGGATGCTTTCCAAACCTCCAGATCTGTCGGTTTGCTTGCTTACGTACCGCGCGAATTGCGCTGACCTTGCTTAGTTTGCTCCAAAAAGTTTGCGTGAAAGCAGTAAACGTAGGAAGACGAAGTGGTTCTGTTTTTAGTTATGTTTCTTTAGGGAAATAACAGACCAATTAAACATGCTATGCCTTTTCCAGTGACTCCCCTTCGCGGATGATAGTAGAAAACTCTGAGGGGGGGGGGGACTCACTCATCACTGACCAACGGGTGTGCAGGAGCCTACAGGAAGTGGTGCGGATAGGGGTCAGAGGGACATCTCTGGCAGGTGGCACAACGCCTCCCATCTCGTGAGAAATAAATTAATATTAACATGGAAGGTAACAAAGGTGAAGGAAACAAAAGGAAAGGTGGTACATGGAAGGAAATACAAAACATTGAGGCTCCCCCCCCCCCCGCTCCACTTCTCTGGCTTTTTCTACACCACTGGGGCGCGAGGGGATAAAGCCTTCAATATTCATTTCCCTCTAATGCGACAATACCTCGACACCATCCAGAGCTAATCAAGGTGTCCCTCGCGCGGCGGCCGCGAGTGGGCGACGCGAGGGATTCGACCGTTCGCAGCAAAAACCAGAGTGGCATTTGCGACGCTTTGGACGACGCTACAAAAACGACTCGTAGCAGATGACAAAGGCTGACGCATCGTCTCGGGCTGCAGAGCACAGACACAGGTGGGTCCGCAGCACGTGATGGTGCAGGTCGTATGACGCGCCGATAGCGGTACGCTGGTGCCGGCCTGCCGCGTGGAGTCCTCCAGCAGGATGCCCTTTCAAAAGTTTTTGAGCCGATGATAAACTGAGGATTAACAGGGACGGGCATGACGCGATTCTTAGGAAATGCATTCCTTCCGAATGGCTCAGGGGCCCCACAGCGAATATCGATGTATGATGGAAGCCCCTGATTCAAATGCATGTAGCCCTCCAACTTTGCTGTGTATACGTACCGCGCCGTCCGCCAGAGGGCAGCTCTGGCGGTGACCCAGCTCCGGTAGCGGGTGGTGGTACTTAAAGTTGTACTCGTACGGCTCCAGCATCCGGATCTTGCCCCACCTGCTGGGCGGCCCAGAGTCAGACGCTCGGACGCGGGGTGGCCGGGGTTAGACGCCCGGTCCCAGGGGTGACCGGGGTCAAACACCAGGTCCCGGGGGTGGCCGGAGTCAGACGCCCGGACGCGGAGCGGCCGGGGTCAAACACCAGGTCTCGGGGGTGGCCGGGGTCAGACACTCGGTTCCGAGGGTGGCCGGTGTCAGACACCGGCTGCCAGGGGTGGCCGGGGCCAGTTGCCCGGACGGGGTAAAGGGGAGGAGATACTGCAGCGTCATCAGAGTTGCATGAATGCATTGATGTGCGGGCCGAAGGCTACATTTTTTTCTGAAGTCTGCATATTGCTTGTATACTGGTAATTTTAGTGACCTTTTACTGATGGTTGGCTTGTATCGCTTGCAATGGCGTAAGCATGGAGGCAGGACAGTATTACACAGAAAAAGAGTTTCGCCTATGATGAGGTACAGACAAGCCCCGAGAGTGGGAGATGGAGACTGACCTGCGTATCTCAATGCATCAATGCAGTGCAGGATCATATGGGAACTCGGCGTCATCGAACTAGCTAAGGCTCGAACGATGAGGAAACGTATACAGCGCGGACTAAGATCTCACAGCCTTGCACCTGTGGTACAAGATGCAGTGAAGAAAAGCATCCGTAAAAATGGAAATGTGATGTGAAAGACACCGGAACTTGCTTTGATATTGGCTGAAAGGCCCGCCACATAGACATTTTTCCATTACAGCCTGGGACAGTTACTCAATTTCGGCTGTTTCATTAACACGACGAGCAAAGGGGCGTGCTTTTATTTATTCTGCACCTATTTGTGATAGCGATTTGGGCTACATGCGCGTGGCAAACAGCAAATTATCAAACATTGCACGAAACAGATGGTCCGGACGGTGACGTCGTCATGCTTTCCTGTGTTGTTTTTTGGTAGGGGAGGGGGTTCATAGTTTGATGTGAGATACATTTGGCGCAGCGCGCCACCAAAAACAGCAAAAGCCGTATGTCCGTGGCCTCCAGGCATCGTGTCAATGGACCATACTATTGACCCGATTTCCTTCAGATGTATTTAGGCTACTCAACCGGATGTGGCCCAGGCAGAGTCCGAACTTGCGAATGAACGTCACGCATACGGATATTGTACATGACAAAATGCAATGAAGTCTGTTTATATGCCCCTTCTCCCATCTCCAAACACCTTCACCAACGTAAGTACTACGCTGGGGACTCAGCAAATGTTGCAAATCGATATTCACACAAGCGTGTTTTCATCAATCGTCCATGTTACGCAACCGACAACGGCACGACCGCGGCGAGTCGTCCGCGCTCGACGTGCTGATCGTTATCACTCAATCACCATTAAACTAATGAGCGTCATTGCGTTAGCTCCTGGGTAAGGTCGTGAGTGTCGAACTGCAAATGTTGTATGGTCGCGGGTCCACCAGGCACTAAGTAATTCCGGCGCTCGCAATCCCCCGAAAATGGGGGGGGGGGGCAGGTACTACTTCCGTTAGAGTCACTTTTCACTATATAACGTCACGGCTTATGCTTTTCTTCAAAAGTTTAACGCTAATACTAACCATTTGAAATTAGGAGAGAAAAAGCAGTCGCCCTGCCTTACCCGGTGTCCGTGGATCGAGCCCTCCCCCCCCCCCCCGCCGCCCCGCCCCCCGCCTCGTGCCTCTCACTGCGCGTGGCCGAACGGGGTGACACACCTGTTGAAGAAGAGCACGATGGCAAGCATCCAAACGCCGAGCACGATGATGATGATGCTGATCTCCTCGGCACTCAGCACGTCCGTATGCTCGCCGTGCGGGGAGCGGAGGATGCCCAGAGGCACTGCAAGCGTGGCGGTCGATTAAATCACGCAGCTGGTCGTAGCACGCGGGTTATGTCGACCATCACGCAACTGGTCTGCACGGTAACAAGAACCCAACAAACCCCACGGCGCCATAAATGAGAGATTAGAACGTGGGGGCTGGGCTGGGAACGAGACCTGAAGCGATTCAGTTCTGGAGTTAAAAGTTACGGCTTCTCCATGCATATCGCGCATGACTGATTCCGCGCTAAGCTCGACCCGCGTGCTTCGAGGCTGATTTTCCAGCCAAGCTCCTATTGCAAAGTGATACGTGGCCCCACGCTCTTCCTTGAGTGGAGGGCGCGTGGCGATACCTGCAACAGTCGCCACAACACTCACATGTGGGCGGCGTGTGGAAGAAAATCACAGGACTGGTGCCGATCGGGGAGCCGTTACTAGATGAAGTCATCACCAGACGGTACTGAGTTTCGGGCCTCAGGTTATCCAGGGTCACTGACCTCTGGTGACCCCGAACGTCAGCTATAACCCGGTAACTGCGGAGCGGAGCTTGGTCAAATAATTTGCGTTGGCTGTGATTGAATCTACACGCGGATGATGAGTTCGATTCTGCGGCCAAAGGCGGCTGATCATGTTTTTATATGTGTGTGTGTGTATGATTGGGGTGGGGGGTACACCATAGGTTTAAGGAATATTTCTTTCAATACAGCGCTCATAGCCGTAGCGACGTAACGTCAAATTCTGTGAAGTTTCGAACTTGAATCCGTCCTTTTTGCCTGAAGCCGATTCCATATCTGCATGTGGCGAGAGGATGTTTCTTTCAATGCAACACTCACAGCCGTAGCGGCGTAGCGTCAAATTACGCGAAGTTGCAAACCTGTACCCGTCCCCTCTCTCCCTGCAGCCGATTCCATAGCTGCATGCGGCGAGACGCTCTAGGACACAAGATAAAAAACAAGAAGTTTAAAGATCAATGGTAAAAAGGTAACAAGATTTTCGACGGAATAAAAGTCAGTTGTTCAGTGCATTAGCGAGGAACATTAGTCACATAGATAAAACAGTAGCATTAGCCTTATTCCTCGGAAAAACCAGGAGAATCGAAATACAGTTAAGTTGATATTTCGGAATTATGCCTTTCTCGAAACAATAGCAGAAGCTATTCTTTAGTAGAAAGTAAAAGAAAAACAATTCAAATATAAAAAGTGAAAGGGCATGAAGTCAAAAGCGATAAGATTAAAATAAAACGATTCAAACGGCGATAAGTCAAAAGAACAAAAAGTCAAAGGTATGAATATAAGGAGTCAACAAGTCAAACGGAATAAGAATAAGAACGACACGTGCCAACACGAGAGGTCAAACATCATGAATTCGGTGAGCAACAAGCAACAAGAGGCAAAGGTTAGAAAATAAAGGTAAAAAACAAAACTCAAAAGGAAAAGAAGATGCCAAAGAATAAAAGTCTAACGGAACAAAGAGCGTTCAAAAACAGCTACACATAAGTTAAGATGCTTCAAGACCAAGCAGATCCCGGGATCCCGAGGAACCCACCCGCGCGGGCCAATTTTAGGTAGCCCTGGTCGGAATACAGAAGACATTCACTGGAATGCCCTCCCCCCCCCCTCAAATTCATACCGAAACTCGTGACCATTCTGCCTGCGGAAAGACATACAGATGTGACAGATTATTTCTGGCCTGCACTCCGACGCACAGGTTCCCACCGCTCCCCAAATTCCCTAACCAAACTCAACGACCACGACGCATATACAAGAACCGGGAACACTCAGACGATTCTAAATTTATCGTTGCCCACAGTTGTCAAAAGCCACCCACACTTTAAAGGAAATCTGTTGCTTTTTACGACTGTCTTCGTGTCTACCATCACCTCTACCTGCTATTCTTTCTGCTGAAAATAAGCTGCCCTAGCATGGCAACGCTGAAAAACACAAGTAGATATCATTATTCTAATATTGGTCACTGTGATGTGCTTCCATCGTCCTCCGCGACCCCCTGGCGTTTCACTGGCGTTTCATTGGCCTTCTTAGACCCAAAAATCACTGGGAGATATGTGAGCTTCAATTTCTCCAACCAAGGTAAGTACCCTAGATACCGCGTTGAGGAGAGGGAATTGGTTGCTGCGGGAGTTCACTTGCCCTCTTCCCGCTCGAAGCTAGGAGACCATCTGAAAAGCCTCACGTGGTAGCTATCTCTAAGGAGGTCGCATTTTGTCTAGGAAACCTCTGAAAATTTCTCCCAACTGAAGGTACGCGATGGCGCTCGGACGCAGAGTACGTTTATAACCATGTTGTCCTGAGTTTGGAAGGGGTCGAAAACAGACAATTCGAAATGCATCACGTCACCAAGAACAATTATGCGTCAAGAAAAGCAATGGATTCACGTAAACAACGCCCGATACATTCACGAGGCCGGCAATTGGCCGAGCTAAGCCTACCAGCTAAGAGGAGGCGGGGGCGTAGACAACGTTCTCAATTGCGCAAAGTACGTTTACACAACTGCATTACGTTACATAAAAAGCCTTTCCACATTGTCGCGGCACAGGCACCACTTCACCACCAGCGCCGCCTGACGGCGCTGGCGGGCCGCTGACCTGGCGTTGATGGGTCGGTAGATGACCTGCAGCGCGAGCGGGGCCGAGCCGGGCAGGGGCGCGCCAAGCGTCCATGTCAGGCACACGGTGTACGGCGTCGAGTGGCGGATGGTGAGGTTGGCTGGCACCGGCGGCTGCCAGCCTGCCGGCGGCCGGCGCCCGTCAGGTCACCGGCCGGCCGTGGCGTCGCACCAAAGGCGCCCGCCGGTCGGCACGGGTCGTTTCAGCGGACTGGTGCAGGCCATTGAGATCAAGTGGCCAGCATGCTATTCAGCATTCAGCGAAGGTGGAACATTCCTTTCGAGTGGGTTTGAAGAGTGCCTTCGGACGATTTAGGACGCCGCCCCGGGTTGTGTGACGTTAGTCGCGTTGGTCGCGTTCTGACCGCAAGCTGGGACGGCAGACGCGCGCGGAACGAGCGGCACGGACGGGCAGACAGACGGGGCCGGACACTTGGCGAGGGATTTTTCGTGTGTGGGGAGGGGATAAATTAATCTAAGTCCTGTTGTTTCTCCTTGAATTATCACTGTTGATCACACTGATTTCATAAACCACCAATTTTAATTTTCAAATAAAAAGAATCAGTTTCATAGAAGCAACAGCCACCATGGAAGAGCTCCTCGTGAAAGGGGGAATCAATTCGCCGCACAAGCTATGGCACCGCTACTGGCCTGAAGACTGAAGTTGCCTATTTGTCATTTCTTCCATCGAAACTCGACACGCCAGTTTTCTACAGAATACTGGCGAGAAATTACACCCAGAAGAGCCTCAGGGCCATCAGTTGCAGTCAAGGCATCCCAGAGGAGCCAAAGGTTGAAAGAGAATAGTTAACACTATGAAGAACGTCTGAAAGCAACACAAGCAAATGAAAAGCAGGAATAAAATCGAATACCTCCGCAGGGACTCGGGGTTCAGAGGTCTCTGAGATGTAAAACAATTTCTTGCCACATTTGCTACAGACTTTCTCTACGAGACGGCAATGGGGGCGGTGCTCTTTACACGGCCTTGGGCGGAGCTAATCGCGGCTTTTCTCCTCACGCGTTAGGCCAGCATCACAGGTAAGAGGGACCAATCGGGGCGCATGGCGAGTTGTGACGTCACCAGAAGCTTGATCAATTAGCGTATTTGCGGCGTATGGTCGCATGCGGCGGCCAAACCAGCCGGCGGTCTTTCTTGCTGATATTACTTCTTGGTGTCCCATACCAAAATTCAACGAAAGGTGTATAATTATGTGTTTACCTTGCTGGAACCAACAAAACTAGTTAGAGCTTTTGTGATACAGTCTCCGCGTCTGTGCAGTCGTTAAAAGCTGGCAACTTGGGCGTAAAACAGATCCGTGCGTCAGACAGTGGCTAACGTAATTTATACGCAGAAATGTTGGGGTCTTTGTGGACCGGTTATACCCATCGACTGTCCTGTTGCAGCAAAGCGCAATGCATGTGCCAACCAGCTCGACACTCTCATCTAGACCGACGTGATGGAGCAACTGGCTCGGTCGTTAACGGGGCTGTGCATGTAAAATTCAGTCTTTGAACACCGTTTGAACCCCTTGAGTGCAACGTATTTTTCAATTACTCGAGCATCTTAGTTGACCCTCCAATATATAATATGCCTGATGTTATCTGTCACCAACTTTAGTCAACCTCAAACTATCAGTAACTACGCAGCCGGTACCTTATCGTTTTGCAAGCATGCACGAGGTTGGCGCGATAATTCTGTTGGCAAACAACAAGTAAAGACACAACATTTTACCACATTTTTCCGATTTTGTATGAAGGTTTGAATTCAAATAGCCACCCGAAAGATCATTCGGTACAGCTCACAGCGCCCTTCGTAAGAACAAAACCCCTCCAGTTTCTGAGCTACACGCCCGCAAAGCTGTGCGGATTATTTCGTGCAGACATTTCAATGTCTCCCAGGCGTCCATGACGCCATAATAGTATCATTCAAATCCTACCATTCCATTGGCCATGCGGCAATCAAGGCCAGTACGAATGCAGTGGTGTCGTTCGTATCTGGCATTCGCGAGCACAATTTCCCAGATATAACGGCTGTCAATTGCCTTCCAATCAATGTTATGCAAGGTACGATGGCGCGATCAAACAATGATGTATTGAGAAGCATTTGTACTAAAAAGAGAAAGTTTGTTGTATCGAGCAGTCTTTTCCACCTCAAAGTATACCAATAGTTTTGGGTGAACTTATTTCATCACCTCATCACGTCTGATATCTGCTTCAATATTTTCACACGTGGAACATCCGCTTTGGCCAGCTCAGCTTCAGCTTTTCGTTGCCTGAGCGCGGTTTCAAGCGACATCGGCTCTCCCCGCTTCGGACACGAACCGGTCATCTGTCGCCCCGGCTGGACGATTGGACAGCTCCTGGCCAGTAAACGGTGGGTTTTTCGTTATTTCTGCCCGTCGGGACGACGATTATCAGTCATTCGTCTTTCCCGGCTGTGTCGGGATGCCGCAGCTGGACGCTGCGCGGCCGACGGCCGGCGCTGCCAGCCAACATTCCTCTGACAAATGTCGGGCACGGTCCGCGGAGGATTTATGAAGAAGGCAGCGAGGGGTCGCCGAATACCAGCTCGTGGTGTAAACGGGGGCGGAGGATTAAGGAAAAAGGCAGGGAGGGATCACCGAATACCAACTCCTGGTGTAGGCGGGGGTACCGGATTTAGGAAGAAGGCAGCGAGGGGTCGCCGAATACCAGCTCGTCGTGCATGCCAGGGCATGTAAGAGAACCGCCAGAAGGAGTGCGAGGTGTCCGACAACCATAGGGAGAAGCGCCCTAATTACGCGGTTAGGCGGTTCTTCATTATGCCGAACGCAAGGAAATGGTTCACAGACAGCACCGTGGACCAGCGGCAGCCAGCTGACCGCGAAGCGCCAATGCGCCAGCTGTTCTACGCCACATGGGCACCCAGGACTACCTCAGTTGAAATAGGACGGCTTTGTTTGAACTGTTGATTTGAATATGCTAATAAAATGTTTCTTTTAATTTGCACGCCTTAAGATATTCGTGTCTCCAACTTTGGTAAATGTAGCTCAGATTAGAAGAGCTTGCGCTACACGTCTTTCAAGATTATGAGCACCCAGAATGTGTCAGTCCCCCGGGAGTAAAGCTTAAATGTTATATGTGCATGATTAGGGGCTATGTTCTCAAAAAACCGCACATTGGCAAGCTTTCTACTTACGTACGGCTCATCCATAGACGTGCGCATGTGGGAGGGGAGGGGGGGGGGGAAGGCGCACCCTTTCCATCGAAAGGTTTACGCCAAAACGGACAGGGGGCTTCGGGCAGCTGTTCCTGCTGTAAGTCACGGTCGCCTAAGCCTTTGTATGGGTAGCAAGGCCCACAATATTTAATTCCGAATACTGCGGGGCTATCTGCGAGCTGAGTTTCGGGACGTTTTGGGAAGGTCACCTGTGCTACTCTCTATCCTTTACCCTCTACCCTGTGCTACCTGGAAGAAGGGCTACCCTCGCGTGTAGGCTGCCCAGGCCAGCAAAGACTGGCTGTGGGCTGACCTCAAACGAGATCCGCTCATTGATGTTTCAGGGCTCTGAAAATAATGGTAAAACAAATCCATTTGCCGGTGGAAAAGCCGGCAGGGAAATCCAGTGAAAACCGGCGGAAACCGGTATTTACCAGTGTAAAGTCGTCAGCTTCCGCGGGTTCACAAGGCGCCCACCCGAGCCCTCCATTCGTCGAGCAGAAAAGCTCGTCTTCGCGTGGGAGGGGGTGGGGGGGGGGGACGTAAAAAAGAATCGGGCGTACAGCTCACCATCGGAAAAGCCGCCTCACGGGATGACATGCGAGAGTGACAGGCGTGCATTTTAAAGATTTCCGCGGTCCCCCTATCGTATCCCTGCATCCCTTTTGCAGTGTATGCACAAAGGTGTCCCGCAAACAGCCCCACCACACGCCCACTATCTGCCCCTGCAAGTGAAGCTGCCATCTTTGGCAATGGTCATTCCAACATCGGCATCTTCCAGCAGTGGCTGGACCACTTTCAGCGTTTTCGTCCCGCTGGCCGCGTGCTTCTGATAATGGATGGCCACCGAAGATACGCGTCGGAGGAATTAGCTGACAAAGTCGGAGGACTTTATGCTGAGCCGCAATGCTTGGCCTCTAACACAACGTACGGGCGTTGTGTGCTGCGATAAAACGTTAGTGTCATGGAGGAAAAATGAAAGGCGATTGATCTGATCATTAGGGGCGCCGGTCATTAGGAGCATCAGCCCGTCATTAGGGGCTCTGGTTGTTGCGCTGTGGGAAAGCGCGTTCCGAAAAGTGCACGAATGTAGACCTTTTGGCAACTGTTTCTTTATTGCCGCACACATGCATTTTCAGTCTTCCTCTTCCAGGTTTAGAAGAACAGTGGATAGAACTACGTGCTGACGAACTTGCTGCCTTTGTAACTGAGCCGTTTAACGACAACTATCATGTGATTGTTCGGCGTGCGTAGTTAGAACACATTTCCATGATATCAATGCATGAGAGCCGCAACCGGGCGCACAAACATCTAATCTCAAGCGGGTGTACAACATACACATTTTATGAATCTTGCCATGTTGGAAAATTAACACGCCAGAAGCTAAGTGTGTCAGGACAGTCAAATTTTTCAGTTATTATTGAGGTGGCACATGAATTGATATGCCTCGACTGGTTTTGGCCATCTGAAACGTGCCTTCATGCAAACCAGAACCCGTGCGTCGTTTACCGCGCATCGCTCAAATAATAGAAAGCCAGGACTGGCCGTGAAATGTCAAGCGCGTCATGATGTGAAAATATTGCGACGTATGCCCACCATTTTTTCGATGGCATACTGCTACCGCCGATTTCTAATGAATCTCCCAGGTGCCGGAACTCGTGAGTTTCAGGGTTCTATACGCAGCTTTCATCAGCGACGCCTTGCGCCAACACTCCATCAAAGTGGCAAGTGGGCGTCGTGTGTTTTACGCAAACCTAATAAGACTTCGCCATATATTTCTCGTCCAGCCCTGGCGTATTCTTTTAGTATATCTGTTCTGGTAGCGTTATTGTGATAGCAGATCCATTTGTGCTGAAATGGACGGTGTCATTCGTCTTAACGTCCCCACGTAGTATAATGCTCGTAGTGGGCTGAGGGGGTACAAAAAAACACCATGCAGGAAAAAAACAAAGAGAGAGAGAGAGAGAGAAGAGGAGAAGAGAGAGAGGAGAGAGAGAGAGAGAGAGAGAGAGAGAGGAGAGAGAGAGAAGAGAGGAGAGAGAGAGAGAGAGGAGAGAGAGAAGAGATAAGAGAGAGAGAGAAGAGAGAGAAGAGAGATAAGAGAGCTAGAGAGATAGAGGAAGAAGAGAGAGAGAGCGCGCGGAAGAAGAGAGAGAGAGCGAGAGAGAATAGAGAGAGAGAGAGAGAGATAGATCAAGGCGTAGAGAGAGAGAAGAGAAGAATAGAGTATCTAAAATAGGAGAGAGCTGAGAAGAGAGGCGCGAGAGAGAGAGAGACAGGAGAGCGGGCGGGAGAGAGACAGCGGGCTAATAGCCGTGGAGAGAGAATAAGATAGCTGAAGAGGAGAGACGAGGAAGAGAGGACGCAGCGTCAGGCGAGCGGCGACTGGGTGAACTGCAACGATCGAGCATGACCAACGGGAGGACGTACGGATATCTCACACCCACACATGTACCTGTTAACCCTGAAGCCCCGCGCGGCCGCAGGATCAGTACGGCCAGAGCCAGGACGACCGGCCAGTTTGCGGAGCACAAACAGAAACCGTCCCGTCTTCTCAACATCGTATGCCAAGCACGCCCGGGGCCAGGTGTGCGGTGACACGAGGCCAACGCGGCATGGTGCTCCTGCTCCGGCTCCTGCTCCTGCTTGTGTCGCTATCCCTGCTCTGGCTCCTGCTCCAGCCTTGCTCCTGCCCCTGTTCCTGCGAAGATATGGAACACAACGCGTGGGGTGGACGGCTGCTTTAAAGGGCAGCAGGGAACGCGATGTGGGTAGTGATGATTTCTGACAATAATCTAGTCTTGGTCGTGCTTCATTTTCATTGCCTCCAGCCTGACTTGGATCACTGAACCTCCAGCTTCGCTTAGCATTACACTTAGGCTACTTTAAATGCCAGCTACATACCAGCACATCATGGAGTTTCGCACAGTTGGCGCATGACAAGTGACAGGCCGTAACGCCTCGCATTTCTAACCGGAAGACGTTCAAGGCCCGTTCGAAGCCGCCGGAATTTACAACGAACATCGAGCTGAGCATACGACAGCTGCGCACCCGGCGTTCCGGAAATGTCGACCGACTTTGTCTTGAATCTTGTCCTTGCGTTATTTCGTGTTTTTTTTTAACATTTTGAGTACGTTAAGTTAGCAATCTTCAGTATGCCGAGAGGTCTTGGTTAAACGATGCTGTAATGCTAAATAACAATTTTATTAAAGTCACTCAATAATTTGAGCTGCACGTATCCTCAAGAGTGACAAGGGGTCAGAAAGTTTGAGCAAAATATTCTTATATCGAGTTGCATTGAACAGTATTTAGTGCGCGAATATTCCTAGCTTCAATGCCACGTTTCATATATTCAATGGGCGAGATACCAGACGTGCGTGGATATTTGCGTGGATTATTTAACGCCTTGCTAACAAAAAGTGGAGTGCAATTCGAAGCGGATGGCACGGTTTTAACCACTCAGTCAGGTACAGTGAAATGACCACCGTACAAGGGCCTTTCATCCTGGACAACCTGTGATTTTCCGAACATTTCACAAAGAGCTGATCCTGCAGTCGTCTTCAGATGTGTGGGTTGTTCAAATTATGGTTGTCTGTGTAAAGTTGACACTTGTAAAAAGTCACCGGGCTTCAAAACGCTCGCTGTCACGGATTCGAAATTAGCTTTAAAAAGAAAATGCTGGGAAGTACAGGTTCAATATGACACTTGCATGAAGATTGGGGCTAAAGCTCACTTGTCCCAATTGCAACAGCTGCAAGCTATTCTTACGCGAAAATGATCGAAGGGTACGAAAAGACGAAAAGAAGCGTGAAGTGGCCGCGGCAAAGGCTAGCAAATGTAAAAAAACGCGTTCCATTTCCAATGTGTCTAACAGTTGCCCAAAATTCGATTAATCACAACTGACTGACACGACTGTTTTTTCTAATAAAATGGGCATTTTGAGCCCTCAGGTGTTAAGGCTTCGGACAGCCAGCGTTATCTTTGCTCTCATTCTGCCTTTTCTAACCAACTGTGCATTATTCAGACAATCGTTGGAGTAGAGCTTCTCGAAATTTTATGTTTTCTGTTCTCGTACCCTACCGAAGGATTGATACACCCTGTCACGGGGATAAATAAGGACATAGACACCTGGCGGGACGTAGAGATTAAGATAGAGCCGGATGATAATACAATACCGGGATTTACATTACGTGTCGGACTGCGCCAACCCCATTTCGACCTCCCTGTCCAGAAAAGAGCCAGACGCGAGCTCTGCAGGCCCACCGGTGCTGAGTGCGCTGAACGCTGACAGAGAGTGTCGCTCAGCTCGAGAACTGGCGACGTCTGTGCCAGTGAGTGGGGCGGCGCGAGACCTTCTCGGCAGCAGAACCTCCCTGCCCCGACCCCTCCATCAGGCGCGGCAGCCGTCGAGGGCCGGCGCGAGGTGGCGCAGACAGCGCCTTTATCGGGTCAGCTCGGCGCGCGTCAGACGAGCTTGAGAGCCGCCACATCCCGGCCGGGGCGCCGCCGGCAACGTGACACGTGACCTGGAGACTGCGCAGCGACCGCCCGCCGCCCAGATCGGGCCGATAGCCGGCCGAATGCAGCGGCGCTTTTCCCGATGGGCCGCCGGCGGGATCGCCATGCAGCCGGCTTGTGCGGCGCGGTGGTGGGCGCTGCAACAACTCGGCATGGATTGGTTTTCGCAGTCCAATCTGGTTCATCGGATCTTGAAGCCAATCTGCACACTAAGCGACGTTTTAGCGAATTTCTAAGCCGGGTCGGTCGACTCCGTCACAGGAAACCACTTCCCCGAGCGATGCATTACGATTCAGTCCCGCTTCACAAAAAGGCAAATGAGGTGTGTACAAAATGAGGAGTGAGCACTCAGTGCTTCTTGAACAAACTGTTGTCTGTTCCAACTGTCATAATCCATTTGCGCTGCGCGTTGTTTTATTCCAATTCCAATCCTGACCCGCGATACTTGCAGCTGCCCCGAACTGGACCGATCCAATCCATGAATTGCTTACACAATCCGCGACGACGTCTAGCGGTCATCAGCCGGAATCCCATTTAGAACTTACCTCCAGAGTGTGCCGCTTAAGTCTACGTGGGTGCGACCTTCAGCCGGCATTTGCGTCGGCCTATTGCGGCCGGGCGGAGATGTCAGGCGGAGCAATGGGGGCTCGCCGCCGAAACAACCTCGTCCATTCTTCACGACAGGGACGTAGGAAGCCGCCGGCGGCGGCGGCGGCGACGGAGGTGGCGGGGGTTAAAGGTAAAGGTGACAAGGGCCATTTAGATGGATGCAGATTGATAACCCGAGTTCGTCAGAGTCTGTTGGTGTAAGTATTATTCTGTCAAAAACGAACGACGCCACTCAGCAGTTTGTGCATGCTCCGCTTCCAACGAAGCACAAGCACATTTGGGATGACAAGGATGCCAGATTTTTCAAATTACTCGATATGTCAAATAAATAAATAAACTCACAACACACGAGTTCTTGTCACTCCACTAGGTGCGTCATGTGGCTACGTGATTTTATGCTGCAAACGAGTGACTTTTGGCTTAACTACATGCAATTTATTTTGATTTCGGCACCAGTTGCCTTGATTATTGGCCTATGAACGAAAAATCATACCGCCCATTATGGGTCTGATGTTAAAACCACTCAGAACACGTCAGTGGCAGACCATCTATGGTCGAACGCATCGGAATGCAGCAAGACCATACATCATGCCATTACAGGCCCCTTGCCGATGTGCCTTAGCTGGGCGATGGATATTGCGCAGTTTGACATCAATCGGCATTGTCACGAGCTCCTTCGTCGCTAACAGCCCTTCGTCCACGAATGTCTCTTGGTTTGGCTATTACGGGCCGTGCGTCATAATATGGCAGCAATGATCAGCGGCGCAGCGGTTCCAGTTGACTGGCGCAGCGGGCTGCTGCCAAATGCCCATTTGCGGCACACAAACCATCGATGATCGATGACACCGGATCACAGGCGTATGAATGGGACTTATCCAGGAGGTGTGGCACTAGAACGTGCAGACGGTCCACCGCGTGTATTTCCGTGGTCCGACATGACAGGTGATGATTCCATTTTGGGTCATAATACAAATGTTTGTACCTTTTCAGAGTGCTCAGACGTGACGCGCACACAGCGGTGCGCAGGCACAGCGGTGCATCCACGTGAAGTGTTGCCGGCCTATTCCTTCGTTGGAAAGACAGTGCTGCACCACACAGGTGCAGTGTGGTGCAGTACGCACTGCACCCTCAGACGTGACCGTGCCGCAGTGACTCCGCGAACGTTCGCTGAATCGACAGCGGGAAATGCCTTGAAATACCGGCAGTATCCCAGAATTGCCGTCCCTAGGTGTAGAACAATACCCCATGAAAGATACTTTTACTCCTTTTCGCTATCTTTATGTGAGTCTTTCACTCTAACTTGGCATTGTTTACTATACGTAGTAAGCCCATGTTCCCCTTCCACATATGTTGCTATGGTATCATCCAAGTTCTATCTCACTTGAAGTCACCAAGCATAAACAGGCTCCACAGAACCTGGACTCCTAAGGTTATGTCCTGCCTCACCTACATCCGAATGGTGGGCAAATCATCATCGCTCTTGAATCACCAAATCAGCATCAAGACCGGAATCTCTGTAGCCTTCTTGTCCATGGCTCGAAGCTAGGTCTGAACAGAAAAAGTGGATCATAATGGAAAATAAAATTTTGAGGTATCTGTTAATCCTGCGCCCGGGGGAGGCGGGAAGTTGACTTCCCCTCACGGCCTTTCGAGCACAGGTAAAAAGATGAACGTCCGCAGCGGCACAAAATTTGTAGCACCTATTCATCTATGAACTTTGCATCCTTTGTGCAACTTTAAAGTTTTTATCCACTTAGAGCAGTGACCAACGTCAGATCAAAAAGGTCAACCTTCTAAAAACTTTGACAACACATATCTTTTTGTGGGTCATAGGGCAGGGTCAGTGACATGAAGTCACATAAACTTTTGCTATTCTTTGTAAATAATGCAAATTTGCACGCATGTTCGTTTAGTTTTGGTGTTTGCATGCAATGTAAATAGTGCTAATTCACTTGCAAAACCATTTTATGACCACAGATCATGTGGCCTTGGCCCAGGTCATTGCCTGCCTCTATGGATACCTTCTGCAAAACACATGCTTAGCTGGAAATAGGCAGTTTTATCAGGTAATTTTGGACGCAGAATTCAAATACCCAACTGAAAACTTGCTCTCTGTATCAGTCTAATGCATACTGAGGTCACAATAGATGGCATGAAGACATGCAAGATCATATGACGTCAAAAAAGATCAATGACCTATGTTGGCAGTATTGGGAAGGCTAGATGAACGAGTGCGACGCGTTCAACTACTCCGTTGTCATGTTTGTAAAGCTGATGATGTATAATTTCATGCACCAACGCGCCTGTCCTCAGCTTATTACAATTACGTTGCGAGGCGTCGAAGGAGCTAGGCATAATGAAGACAACAGCTGTGCAATCTTGAGTACCTGAAGATTTACAATACACCATTTCTGACCACGAAAGAGCATTGTACTGGTCAGATAGACCCGGATAGCAGTCCAGTTTTTTCATTCGGATGGTTCATGAGTTTTACCTAATTTGACCTTTCATGACCTCTAGGTCAACCCAAAATGATACTCTACTGTCTGGGATGCTTTTGTCCCACAGCTGCACTTGATAAAATTAACTTAGTCAGAAGCACACTGTGAAAAAATATCGTTCATGTAGGTTTCTGGTAGACCAATTATGAACGGTGACGTAATTTGACCTACCGCTTGTGAGTGGACAGAAATTGTTGGAATGCCCCTCCCCCCCCCCCCCCCCCCCCAGTCTTAATGCTTATTACCGCATCTTGAATATCCGCGCTGGAATGTCAACATATATTTTAAGTGTACCTATCAGAGCGACTGTTTTCGACCTATCATAACATTTGGCGACTCCACATTTAACCTAACATCACAAATTTTGTGAGCATTCTTCATGATTTGACGAGACCTCCACTGCGGTATCTTTGGATTTTTCATACGACGTCTGGAAGTTGGACGTCACAGGAGGAAGTTAATTCCCCCCCCCCCCCCCCCGACCGGGCGCGGTTGTCTCAGACCCGCGGCTGCGTGCAGCTTAATAACAAATGTGAGCAGAGGCGGAGTAATACAAGCGTCAAGATATACCTAGCGGAGCAGGGAATCCAAAGTCGTCTGATGCTATGCCTCATATATGTACATATCGACCCCCAATCGTGGTGGAAGATTGGCCAAGATCAGTATTGGTAAGACGAGGAGAAGTAAGGCATCTTCTCTAGATTTACCATTAGCAAAGGCATCTAACAAGCTGCCATTCGATCCGCGTACCGCACGGCCTAACACTGGTCTCCCGCCCATGTATGCCCTGCCTTCAATGCAGAGAGCTCCAGTCGCTCGCATTCATTCGCATTCTCCTCGTTTCAGCGTGTCGAAGTCAACAACTCAGCAGACCGTGGGCATGCGCGGCCGATGGTCAAATGTCAGGCATCAAGGTGTACAGAAAAAGGACTGCCCAAAAAGTGCATCACGGAGCACCCTGGCAACGCCGGACTGAATGGGTCGGAAATGATGAACGTAGCGACCAATGGGCATGGTATGACGTCTTAACCCGGACGCATGCGCCCCACCGGATGTGTCCGACAGCTAGTAAAACAGAGTGGCAGCCTCGGTGGTGATGACATTTTTGTTTTATGGGCGCGGCAACTGCAACGATCATTCTGCGCCCACTACCTGGCCAGGCAATCTTCATTTCAACGACGCGTGCGTACAGAGTGCCCGGCCGTCCAGGTCGCCAAGCTTGAATTTGGCGTACCAAAGTTGGAGTCACACACAGCCACGGGGCGTTAAAGAGGTGAGAACATCATCTTAAAACTTATATGCTCCGTGACCTCAAACGATCCTCGTGTCAAAGATCGGTTCCCCCTCATAAAGGAGCGTAGAGACAACCTCCACCGCGTGTGCGGGTCGAAGTAACGATGACGCTCAGCTCCCCGGTGGGGACACTGCACGAGGACATGAGCAACTGACAGTGGGTGATCGTACCTAGGACACGATAACGCTTAACCTCCGGCCAGAGGAAAACGGTGCGTACCGAAGGTGCACAGAATGATCGCCGTTGGCACACACATACGCGGACGTGAAAACTAGGCTCAGACAAGCCCTCTCCAAGTTCAGGTCCGATCAAAGTTTGCTTCTGTTCGAGTGCTGACGCTCCGGTGCTAACATCTCGGGAAACCCTTGTTATCCCTCGTGATTACATAATTTGTTCTCAGATTTCCACACGCCATTTTGTTAACGCCTAGGCACGTGTACAACTTCGCTGTGAAGTCATGGCACTTCAAACAAAAACTACAGGTGGCCTATCCTTGTGGCCACCAGTTGCTGAGCAATCTACATCACGGGCCTGACAACGAAGTCACCAGTCAAGCTGACCGTGACGTCACGCTACCCACCACGGCCCGGCCCCCCGTCTAGCCGGTAACCGCCCGCCGTCCGGTGTCTCCGCAGCCGCTCACCTGCGCGTCGCTCGTCGCTGGCGTCGCACGCGCCTCCGGATTCGAGCCGAGGGGTAGCGCACCGTCGCCCGTGACGACCGCCAACCGACTGAGCACGCCGTGCTCCGCCTCCACCGTCGTCGGGTCATCACGGACCGTCTCGTGCACCGGCCACCGCGCCGGCAGAGCGAGGCTGCAGCGTGCACTGAGCACCCTGAAGGCCCCGAGGGTCCCGAATACCGGACCTGGACGCTATTGGGGGGCCGTCTCGTAGGAAAAATGTAAATTTTCGCAAAAACTCTGCGGATGTAGGCCTCAGGACCAAGCTATGATGCCCCTAAAAGGTGGCAGGTTTGAGGGCTGCAATGACCAGCATGACACCACAACCTTTATTGGGCGGGATGGCACGCACTCATCTAGAGGAGATAGTTACCCGTAGAACAGCAAAATCGCCCAGTACAGCCAACAGTCCCTGGTGGAGCCGGGTATAAAACTCTTAACTCGGGGAAGGACCCCCCCTCCCCCGTCTGACCCTCGTCTTAGCTACGTCCCTGTCCACTGTCAACCTGTTTTCAAGTAACAATGTTTTTAAATGGGCGCGGGAGGGCCGCATCGGAGAAGCTTTGCGAGTGCTAAGCGCTCATCAAATACAGACTTTCTGGTGACTTGACCGGACACTTGAAATGAGATTTCAAAGGTGTGTTGCTCATTCAGTTTGTGTTTTACAACCATCTAAGAAGTGGTCGTTATTGACTCTCATGTCTGTTGTCACCTCGTTCGTACTAAAAAGAAGTGTTCAAAATTTATACCGGGATTTTGAACTGAAACGGTAATTTTGCAGTGCATGCGGGGCAGTTCACAGCTCTGCCGTTCTTAAGATCTAAGCCCATCTAGATTCTGAGCTAAAACCCGCAATGATGAGCTAAAGATTTCGGGGGGACTATCTCAAGATTGTCCAGGCATCTATCACGCCATGAAAACGTTCAAATTCCGTCACTTCATTGGCGGTGCGCTGCTCAAGGCGGAGAAAATTTGGCTGTCGAGCCGTTCATATCTGGCGTTCGTGAGCACGATTTCCAGATGTAACGGCCATGAACTGGCTCTGAATCACTGCTACACAAGGTGAGGTGACAAAATGAAACAATGACGTATTGAGGAGAATATTTTCTCAACAGAACTATTATGTTGTCTAGAGCAGCCTTCTCACTGAAAAGTATACCAATAGTTACTGGTAAGCTTATTTCATCAGATCTGTTGTTGGCTTCAACATCTTGAAGTGTGGGACATTTCCTTTGAGTACAAGGCCAAATGTGAACTTTTATAGAAAAGTGAGATCTCATATCAGTACTGATATTTTTACTTCATCCACGAAAAACTACCACGCGACGCAGCAGCACAAAATCTACCGACACGGAAAATCTCAGAGAAATCCATGAAGACGTCACAATTCAACTGAATAGCGATGCTCAATTTCTACTGTATTAACGGTCATGAACGCCCTTTGTTTTGTTTCATTTTGTCGGCCCATATACCTCTGAGTTATGCAGATTTTATAGTGTGCAAGCTTAGGAGCAGGGGCTGAGGCGAGGCTCGTACCCCGCTCACCTACCGCGTAAGTTTCTCATTAAGCGTGTGATGACGCATGTAAAAAACTACCTTGACGACCGGTCCGACGCCCCAACATCTTCTGACGTTCCCAACACGCCCCAGACGACACGCCAGCCTCACTGGACGACCCTCTGGTACGCCACCGCCGGTCACCAACCACGCCACGCCTCGATGCGCCAAGCAGCACGAAGCTTCCTTGCCTATTCACCTGTATAGATCCGTTGACGCGGTAGAGGGACGTTTGGTGTGATGACGCCTGCGGTCCATCTATTTGTTGATCTGACCATCACTTTCTTTGTGATCCTTAATCATCAAACATGCAGCCGGATTGGTGTATCAGAGCTTGGTGCACAAACGAAGATATCAGACAGACAGAAACCCCTTTCAGCTTGACCCTTGCAAACATCCTCCGGCTATGCCAGTCTGTCTAAGTTGAGCGAGAGCATCTTCTGACGTCATTTATTCGCTGATGTGCGTGACGATGATGATTGTCGATTCAGAACGCAGGTGCCCCTAATAGATGGCCACGTAGCGTCCACAATGTTAGGCGGAATCCCTTATCTTGTCGTCGGTGGCAGGATGGCGGGACGCATCATATGAATACCCATCCAGAGAGACGTGCTCACTTAGAGAGACATCCAGAGAGGCGTGCCCATTTACGGCGACGGGACTGTGGGACGTATTTGTGACGTTTCATTGGCCAATCAGTCGGCCAGATACCGAGTCTATTGTTCACGCGGAGAAGTTGTTACGGTTCACGCATCACAAACTTGTGGAGTCAGATTGAGATGACCCAGCGACCTCGCACTTTGCTCCACCTCCTGAAGAAGGTCCCATGCGACCCAGTGGGCCCAATGGGGCCCAATGGTGCACCATTGGGTCTGGCTAATCTGTTCATCAGTCATCTCATACGTGTGAGGCAGTTGTGTTGAACGGTGACAAGAAAGTGTCAAAGAGACAGGATGTTAAAAATTTCTAGGGCAAAAAATGGAAGGACCGACAAGAAGGAGCTCCTGGGGCCTTTTCGCGCTAGCAGGGATGTAATCCGATACCAAATCTAAACCAAGCAAAAGCTAGGACAGACAGGAGCGAAAGACATCGCCGGTCTTAACGCAAACGTGTCTTGAGTAACATTTATCTGCTATTTTCATAGAGCCGATGTTATTGATATGGGTCTTGCTCCTATTCTTCCTCGTTTGTGTGTATTCTAGATTTTGTGTCGCATTTGGATCGTCTCAATAATACCAGGGTGAAAGGGCTATCATCCTCTAAAAATCTCGCATGGATACGACATAATCACCAACTTACCATTTGCTCTGTGCAAATGCATACAAGGTAGCAGCAATTGTGTCAAATGTGCGTGGTGTTGAATTTCATTATCTGGCCGTGAGTTTCATTGCTTAAAATACTGCTCGCACTTTTTGTTTCCTCAACCTTCCATCAGAACACATATTTCGTCCATAAGGAATAGGACATTGTTATCAAGTATCAATATTTGCAGAAGTGTATTCCTATCTTGATAGTGACGATTTCAACGTGAGTGGGCTGGAGCGTAGTTTTCTATGCAGTTTGGGGAGGCTTTAGCCTCCTCAACTTGGGCTCGAGCCATCCCCCAACTTTAGGAAGAAAGTGGAGCAAATCTGGGGAGAAACCTGTTTGTTGTCATATTTTGGGGCAGGTTGCGTCATTTTTCACTATTTAGTCCCCCTCCCCGCCCCCCACTAAATTAATTTTGTGAAGCTATGCCCCTGTGAGAAGTATGCTCACGTAAATACCAGATCAATTCAATATATTTATTCGGCACCTGGACAAAATACCATATATTGAAAGCGCGTCTCAGAAAGTGGGGTGCCGGAACCCATTTGAAGTAAATTATTTACATGCTTCGCCGTTGGATTAATGTCCAGCATTCTCGGCAAGGAGGAATGTCATGGTGCTCACAAACTGCTTCCTACGCCTGTAGGAAGGGGTCTGGAGCCCTCACAGGCTCCAGACCCATTCCAAAGTCAAGCTACTTTAAAAATGCGAAGAGAAAAAAGTCGATCGGGTCCGATGTATTCCACGAGCACCCGGCCGAAGCATTCCAGCGAGATGCAATCCCACGCCTACAATTGTACATTAACTATCCAAAATCACACAGTGTGCTTGTGCCAGACGATCGGCAACCAAACGGTTCATCGCCCACACGCCGCCACCAAAGTGAACACCCCTCCCGTGCCCCGCGACATCCCCGGACAAGGCATCTGCTGGGAGGGCCTGTGCATGTCCCGAGGTGCCCCGCACCACGCCCTCCCGCCGCCTAGGCGATGCGGTACAGCCGGCAGCTTTTGAAGCCCTTGTACAGCCTGTTCACGCGCCAGAGCCCAACCACCGCCCAGATCTGGTCTGTCGGCGTGTCCACGTGCCAGTTGTCGTTGTCGCCAGAGGGCCCGCTGCCGGAGCTGGACGGGTCTTGAGTGCTGCATTCGTCATAGTTGACGCGCCAGTTGCTCAGCAGCAGGTTACACTTCATCAGGTCGACGGAGCTGTGGTCGTAGTCGCTGGTATCGCTGAGCGCCGTCACCACCTGGTGCTGCGGACACTGGTGCTCGCTGGGGTGCCAACGGAGCGCCACGTCCACCACGGTGGCGACCTGCTGCGACACGCGGAACTCCTCGCCGTAGCTGGGGGCACGGGGCGGCGTCAGTGTGGGCCTCTCACGGCCAGGAGCACGCTGCCGCATCAGTGCCGGCCTCCCGCGGCCAGGGACACGGGGCGGCGTCAGTGTGGGCCTCCCGCGGCTGGGGGCACGCGGCGGCGTCAGTGTGGGCCTCCCGCGGCTGGGGGCACGCGGCGGCTTCAGTGCCGGCCCCCCGCGGCCAGGGACACGGGGCGGCGTCAGTGTGGGCCTCCCGCGGCTGGGGGCACGCGGCGGCTTCAGTGCCGGCCTCCCGCGGCTGGGGACACGGGGCGGCTTCAGTGCCGGCCTCCCGCGGCTGGGGACACGGGGCGGCGTCAGTGCCGGCCTCTCGCGGCTGGGGACACGGGGCGGCTTCAGTGCCGACCTCCCGCGGCTGGGGGCACGCGGCGGCTTCAGTGCCGGCCTCCCGCGGCTGGGGACACGGGGCGGCGTCAGTGCCGGCCTCTCGCCGCTGGGGACACGGGGCGGCTTCAGTGCCGACCTCCCGCGGCTGGGGGCACGCGGCGGCTTCAGTGCCGGCCTCCCGCGGCTGGGGGGCACGGGACGGCGTTTCTGTGGGCTTCACCGCCGCCCAGGTAAGCGGGAGGAGTATGTTCGTCAGACAGGGCTGGACAGCGGTGGAACATTTAGGCGGGCTCGTGACGTCAGCAGTATTTGCTACTGAGCTTGTCATGAGCAGCAATTCGTGCAAAAGCCCAAAACAGTGAACGGAGATATCTTCAATCATATTTGAGTAGTTACCACCTGTAGTGGAGCAGAAGATTTGGTGCGTCACCAGAATGGAAATTCTGAGTAGAGGCGCACATAAAAGGTCGACTGGGGGCTCTGGGTAGTAGGGCACATCATGGGTCGAGTGGGATTTCTGAGTAGAAGGGCACATAAAATGTCGAGAGACAACTTCTTGTGGTAGTCGCTGGCTGTCCGCCGGACCACACGGACCTGGGTCTGCCGCATGACGTCAGCAAAACACACCCGTCTCAGACCGTTGAGCACGGCGGCATGGCCCGAGCCTCGGACTGCCCACGCCGTCACGGGGCCACCGTGACGCGCAGAACCCCGCCCCCCGACCAACCGACCTGTAGCAGCGGATGCGGTCCATGTCGTCAAACGTTGCAGCGTCGTTGTACAGGCCGGTGAGCACGTAGCGACTACATTCGCGCTCGGCGGCGTTCGTCGGCCGGTTGCAGTCGGCCCCCCATCGGCGATAGGGGTCCTCTATCGACAGCGTCGGCGGGAAGTCGTTCGGGTAGGACTCCGTGTTCATGCCGTAGTAGGAGTGCCGCGAGGAGCGCACTTCGTCCTGCCCCGCGTAGCCGCCGTAGTAGAAGTCCCAGCCGCCGCGCGCCTGCCACGTGTGCGTGTAGCAGCCCGGGTAGGCGTTAGTCACTTGGCAGTCGTGCAAGCCGTTGCCGTCCGGCGCGCGGTTGAAGTTGAAGCCTCGGTAATTGTGGTAGAGCGTGCGCGCCGCGCACTCGCCCACCATCGCGACCTTCAGGTTCTCCGCCACGGAGCCGGACGCCGCCGAGTCGGCCGGGCCAAATCGCACGAAGCCGCGAGCGCGGATCGTTTGGACAGCGCACCAGCACGGCCAGGCCGGGGAGAGCCAGCAGGCAGAGCGCGCCGCCCGGCAACGCCATGATGCCACGAGGTGAGGCGCCGGTGGAGCGTTCGGACGAGGCGTCAGCGGCACAGCCAGGCGAGGCGCCGGCTGTACGGCGGGGTCCTCGTGGCCGGTTCTTGTCGCTCGTTTGTTTTGGTTGTCGCCATGCCGATCGCGGCGAATGTTTTCACGTAGCCTTGCCGATGCAGATACAGTCTGGAGTTTCCCACGGCTATCAAACTGTAACATGGGACTGTGGATGAATGTTTGGGAGCCCGGTGTTCATATGTACGCAGCAGTCAGTCATGGTCGAGCACCCGTGTGATGACGAGTTCCATATTGAAAGCGCATACGTTTCACGTGAAAGATAAACCCTGAAAAGTCTATTTCAATCAACAAGAGATTGTTGAGGCATTTTCTAAGGTTCGTCTCGGTGATGCTAAGACTGGGCATGTGCCCCATTTGGGCTAAAAGGCTAGACTTGATACCACCCTACTTGGGCCAGGAGGCTAGGCTTAATTTATATCACCCGACTTGGGCCAGGAGGCTAGACTTGATACCATCCGGTCCGTGCGGAGAATCTAGCTACCTCAGTGTAGGCATGCTTCGACACCTGCGTGTTGCCCGGAGAGTCCCTGGTTCGAGCATTTCAGGGCATTTGGCCATCCGATGGCCGGAGTTATTCCACTGGTCCCGAGGGCCTCGCATCGCGCAAGCTGCTGCGGAATCTTAATTTTCGAATAGCCAAGCGGGGTGAGGGACTGACATGCCAACACAGAGCTCTTCGGACGCTGGAGAAAAGAAAAAAAACTTTGACATTGATCGAGCCATGGTATTATTTTTGAGAACCTCGCATGCACCTTACGCGATGCCGTGCCAGTAATTAACAGTAATGCTCCACGATGACACCTCTGCGTGTCTATCCTCTACCCACGGTCGCACGGGCACCCAGTTGTCATGGTGAGTTCTCCGACGCGGAAGAGCGCGCTCGGCGGGCGCCGCCCGGGCAGCGCTGGCGAGCGGGGCGGGTCAGACCCGCCGCCTCTCCCGGGACCGGCGGCTTCCGTGATGGAGAGGCACGACGACTGGTTGGTGCGTGTGGCGAGATACCAGTGACCCTCTGTCTTTCTGGATCTTCGGCGCAGTACCTCTCCCCGTCCCTCGGAGCACTCACACGTCATATAAGGGTACATGATATGGGACGTGGAAAAGGATAACACGATCCATGCATCACAGATAATACGAGCCATGGCACGGAGATGAGAGAGAGAGAGAGAGAGGAGAAAGAGAGAGAAGGAGAGAGAAGAGAGAGAGAGAGAGAGAGAGAGAGCGAGAGAGAGAGAGAGAGAGAGAGAGAGAGAGGAGAGAGAGAGATGAGAGATAGAGAGAGAGAGAGAGAGAGAGAGAGAGCAGAGAGAGGATTCGTCTCCGAATGAGCGGCCGCGATTATAGATCGGCCTAGATTCGAGGTTGGAGGAGATTTGAGAGAGAGGAGAGATAGAGAGACGGGAGGAGAGAGTAGACGAGAGGGAAGGGGAGAGAGAGAGAGAGAGAGAGCCGAGAGAGAGTGGAGAGAGAGCGAGAGACGAGAGAGAGAAGAAGAATGGCACTCCGAATACCTTTTTTAATACCTATATTCAGTTTTTCCAACACTAAAACCATGAGTTAACGTGGAAACTGAAAGGACCATTCAATACAATGATTGGTGCAGATTAAACGCCGTTATCAACCATTGATATGTACTATGAAAAGTACTCTTCTAGGCGGTGCGCAGAGTAGGAAGTACCCCAGCCTTGTTCAACACATTAACTTATGTCAAACAAACCACGAGGCACCCGCTGCCTCTCCCGCCTACGTCAAACGAAACAAATCCGACCACTTCTTAAGCCTGGACACCTGCAAGACGTCAAAGCACGCAGTGTTGGGTCGCGGGTTGCGGAGGCGGCCAGTTACTGAGTGGGTAAAACGTCTCTAGGAACAAGATATAAATCAAAACTGAATGACTCCCTCTACTCCCCCAAATGTGATTGCTGCCTTGCGGTACCATGTGTCTGCGTGCGCTTGAACCAGCTACACACAATAAACACGTTCTACACAGCGAAACAAGTATGAGATAAATATATTTAATTCGGCATTTCAGAACTACGCACAGCATACTTTACCCACTACTGTGGTGCATAATCACACATACACAACAAAATCAGGCTCTTGTGAAAAGTGCAACGACCAACGTGTCCTGCGTCTAAAACAATCACTAGGCTATGACGCGGCCCCTCACACGCGTCCCTACTCCAACAAATTCATCGAGAGCCGCTCGCGTCGTCACGCGGCGACATTTTACAGCCTTGGCCAACCAACGTCCGCCTCACACCAGCATCTCTCGCAGCGCTCAAATTGCCACTCGCCCACACGACCGGTACACACCTATCACGAGCCCGGCAGTTGGCATGCGTCACCCCCGCTGTCTTCTCAGCCACATTTCCCCAGTTCCGAGGCCGGGAAGTGCCGCCCATCCGCTGAGGTGCAATTTTTTTCTGTCGTACCAGTTTTGTTTCTGTTGTATCGGGCTGTTTTCTTTCTATCATTAGCTTATTGCGCCTTTTGGCCGAAGACATGACTTCCATGCAACTGAGAAGGTGCGTCGAACCAACAAGACACGCAAAGGCTATGCAACAACTGACTCCGCCAACACCGTGTCTTCCATTCCCACTCGCAACAATCTTTGGCAGAATAAGTGGACGACCATGACATACGATCAGAGGAGACACGCCGCGTCAGCACGTGACGCCGCACGCCATTGGCTGAGCCTCGCCAGTCGTCACCGCCCAAACACGGCGCACGGGCCGCGGCCGGGCACAGCATGTGAGCCCACACCCATCACTGCGCTCACGACCAGCACGCTCCAACGACATGTACCACAAGACAGCGTTGTAATATTAAAGCGCGGTGGCTAGGTTCCACCCCCAACCCCATACACAAGCGTGGACCATGTTTACAAGCGAGGCCAACTAAGGACACAGATGGGGACGACCCAAAACGCTGCAGACTTTGGCGCGGAAAGGCATAGCTACTGGTGCGAGCAAGCTGAGGGGCAATCACATGAAAATAGCGGCTTACTGCCGTCATGACGCGTTCTCAATTAGCCACTACATTTCATGTGGGTTTGTGACGGCTCGTCGCCTGACTGCGGCGGAAAACTGCCGCCACAAACAGCGGTGGGCGCTGGCAAGTGGCCCCTAAACGTGGCGTATGGCCAAACAGCAGCCGCTGAACGAGGCCTTTGTGACATTAAATGACAACTGTTTGTCCAGATTTTAGAGTAACCACTTTAGAAGCGATATCCTCACCGCGACCAATGTTATGACAGCATAGCTTCTACTAGCAGAAACTCAGGCCAAACAAAAAGCACAAATAATCGCAAAGTACTGTCAGAAACGCACATCGCTACATAGAGAAATAAATGACAAATGAAAGAATGACGAACATTGCTGACTAGCAGTCTTATGCTGGAAAAGACAACCCGTGAAACTCATCCAAAACCGCAGTCGGCTGGCGCGACGAAGCCACCGACGACATGGACAACCGACCAAACCTAAACATGCGCAAGGAAAAAGGAACCAAACATCGACTAAACAAACAAACCAAGCACGAGAAAATACATGATCAACACAATCCTAACGATATTTGCTGACTAGCAGTACTATACTGGAAAAGGCCACCTACGCAATTTATCCTAAGCCGTACTGAGCTAGCGCAACGACGCCACTCGCGACGTAGATCAACCGACTAAATCCAAGCAAACCATCGAGCGAGAACGGATCATTGGGCGGAAGCAACCAAACGAGGCATAGCAAAAGACACAAGGCGGCCCACACACCCAGCGGACGGAGCGACACCCCCAGCACGCTCTCGGGCACCGCCCAAGCGTCCCCGGAGCTGCTGCCCTTCCCGCGGCCGGCATCACCAGCGCCGCCCGTGGCCGTGCCGCGCACCACATCTGGGGCCGGCGCGGGGCGACGCTGAGGCGTCACGATACCGCGGAGAGCGGCTGCTGCCGCAGCACCGGAGCTCTGTAGCCAGGACGTCAGACGAACCGAACGAGTCGTGCAGCCGGGACGTCGGACGAGCCGAGATCTGACACCAGCTCGCACAGCCTCCGAGGCGGGCATGGCCGTGGTGCGAAGACATGTCCTCCCCCCCCCCCCCCCCACCCCACCGGGCCGCACGCTAGTGATGGTCGGTACATGAAACGAGCACGCTGCGCCACGAAACGAGGGCGCGCAATGTCACAGGGACGCACACGAACCGCGATCACAGCACACAACGTGTCAAAAACTACGACAAAGCTGAAGCAATGAAGAGAGCATTACAAATGTGCTTGAAATGTAACAATGCACAGCACGGCTGCAGGTGACTTCTACATCCACGCTGTACGCACAGCGAACTTTGTTGAAATGCAGAAGGCGGTATTCGTCGATATCGCAGAAACCCACGGCGATACAGCAGACCACGCATATCCCTGCCGGACGTATCGCCCCATCCATCCGACGACTCTTCGTGTCGGAGACCACACGCAGTGACCTCAGAGTGGTACCTCGCGGTCAGCCGCACCCAGCCGCGTACACACTGGCTGAAACTGGCCTCGGCGGGACCTGACCAGGCTCGCGGTAACCGCAGGCGGGCGGCGCAACCATGCTGCCATCTATCCGGCCGGCGGACAGGCGCGGCTGCGCGCGGCGGTCACCAGACGTCGCCTCCGTTCTCACGACTCCTCGAGCTGCTCGGAGAAGTAGCAGGGCGAGCGCAGGTACTGCTTGAGAGGCTCGGGCAGTGGCAGCTGATCGATGTGGTCCCTCGGAATGTGCTTCAGGATGACGAACCTGTCAACACCGCGACAGTGACAGACTGGATCAGACAGCTGGCGCACCAGCACACACGCCGTCACGGCCGCAGCGGCCACGCCATTGAAACTCACCTCACATTTGACATTTCTGCCCTTATTGAACGGGTGGTCCCTGGCCTTTGGTCTCATGAAAACCATCACGGACAGAGCCAATATTTAGCACGCCGCAATGCATGAAGCCATCCTACTCTGCGGTCCCCAGGCAAACGACCAGACCAAGGCAGACTGTGCCATCTGGTGCCATCCAAGAGGATGCTGGTCGGAATCACCTTCGCCGCGGTGAGAACGGCCCAACCGTAGCCGGCAACCGTCCCTCTCCTCACCTGCAGAGGTGCTTCAGGCTCTGGATGTGCTTGAAGCGCGAGACGGGGTGCAGCAGCTGGACGCGCATGGGCCCCTGCGCCGGCCGGCGGTGCAGGAAGAAGAGGTAGCGCCCGCTGCGCGAGTACTCCACTGCGTTCTCGATGAAGTCGACGATCGTGTTGCTGCGGAACTTGTGCATGCCGCCGAAGCTGAAGTTGCCTGTCGGGGGAAGGCAGATGGCCGACGGTCAGAGGCCGTCACGTGACCACGCTCCCGGCCAGCCGGCCCACACGCCGCATCTCCCGCCGCAGTGCAGGCAGTGTGTGACAGTATCACAGAAGGCGTGACACAACCATTTCAAAGAATAGGATGCCACACAGCGCCCCAGCCCCATCGTATTGTGGCCTGAGCAGCCTCTATAGTATACTGCCCAAGTGGAATAGGCTTTCACCATATTGCTTCGATACAACCATAACCATGCTTGAATGATCGATGATTAAAGGGACGTGACGCACTATCATGTTTTGACACTTAGTCCTCACAAGCGTAACAGTTAACGCATCTATAGCTTTCACTCGGAGACAGCCACTCGGTCCCAGCGGCACTAACGGCTACCGAAATATGGTGGCGCTGCGCCGGTCCAGGCCGCTCCACACATACACTACGAAGGACGCTCTGGACCGAACTCAGGCTCGCTTTGCCAGGAATCGAACTAAGGTTTCAGTCTCCGTCGAACCTCAGTTCATCTGTGATCTGCGCCTTCCAGCTGGTGTCCCCTTTACACCCCTCCGCATGGCTAGGCGTAAAGTCTATCATATCATTGTTGAAAAGTAAGTTGTTCAGTGCATTAGCGAGGAACATTAGTCACATAGATAAGACAGTATCATGAGCCTTATTCCTCGTAAAAGCCAGAACAGAGATATGGTTAGGTTGATATTTCGGCAACGTCCCTTTCTCAAAACAGTAGCAGAAGTGAATTCAAAAATGTCATGCCAAAATACATTTTTGAATTCACTTCTACTATTGTTCCGAAAAAGGTATGTTGCCGAGCTATCAACCCAACTATATCTCTACTCTCCTGGTTTTTCCGCGGGACAATGCTAATACTACTGTCTTATCATCATTGTGAAGCACTGACTAGAATGTGAGTGGGGCTAGGAATCGAACAAGCATCGTCGCGGCATGTTAACTTAGAACCCACGCTGAGACACACTGCCGTACCAATGATGAACGACACATTTCAGACAAAATGCCCGGGATCAACCTTGCTGACTTTCTCTGAAGACATCTCTAAAACAACCTCGCTGCCGAGCTCAAGCTTTGACGAGTCCCTATCCCACAAGCCGCTGGCAGCGCAGCCCCATCCCCGCAGTCTTCAGAGCCAAGCGCCAGACCAAGACCAGCAGTGGCGCAGCCTCATCCCCACAGTCTTCAGAGCCAAACGCCGGACCAGCAGTGGCGCAGCCTCATCCCCGCAGTCCTCAGAGCCAAACGCCAGGCCAGCAGCAGCGCAGCCCCATCCCTGCAGTCCTCAGAGCCAAACGCCAGACCAGCAGTGGCGCAGCCCCATCCCTGCACTCCTCAGAGCCAAACGCCAGACTAGCAGTGGCGCAGCCCCATCCCTGCGGTCCTCAGAGCCAAACCAGCAGTGGCGCAGCCTCATCTCCGCAGTCCTCAGAGCCAAACGCCAGACCAGCGGCAGCGCAGCCCCATCCCTGCAGTCCTCAGAGCCAAACGCCAGACCAGCAGTGGCGCAGCCTCATCCCCGCAGTCCTCAGAGCCAAACGCCAGACCAGCAGCAGCGCAGCCTCATCCCTGCAGTCCTAAGAGCCAAACGCCAGACCGGCAGCAGCGCAGCCTCATCCCTGCAGTCCTCAGAGCCAAACGCCAGACCGGCAGCAACGCAGCCCCATCCCTGAAGCCTCCAGAACCACACACCAGACCGGCAGCAGCGCAGCCTCGTGCTTCCAGCCCTCAGAACCACACGAGATCCGCAGCAGCGCAGCAGTCGCCGTAGGAGGCAGGACCAACCGCGTGGCGTACCGTTGTTGTGCTCGATGCGGGCGTGGCGGATGAGACCGCGCAGCTTGAACGTCAGCGAGAAGATGTAGCGGTCGTCGCTGCTGTCGCGGACGATGAAGGAGCCGTCCGGCTCGTTCTTCAGCACGGCCTCTGCCGACGAACAGCTGATCGGCCCCCAGTACCAGCCGCACTGGCAATATGGGGCTCAGCGTCAGCATGCAGACGCCAGGCAAACGGGCAAGGAGTCAGAGCTTCAGTATCAAATAAGCAGGCTGCAAAGGAATGCAGTTACATGGTTACATAACAAAGAAGGAATCTGGAAGGCAGATCGCGCACAGCACTGGCACCTACAACACAAAATCAAGTGACTACAACAGCCCAGCGGATACGAACACAAATAAAGCACCAGATGCACTTCAGCGCCGCCTTCTCCAGCAGCCGACACACGACAGCGTGCGTCCATGTCTGAGCTGGTACAGAGCCGGCGCCAGCAGCCCTGGTCCGGCCGGCGCCGCACCGTCCACTCACGTCTTTGACCTTCTCGATGATTGTGGCGAAGTCGGCTGGGCCGGCTGAGGTTCGCCGGGCCGGCGACGGCCCCCACCCCTCGGTAATGCCCAGCATCTCCAGGTCCATATCCATGCCCGAGCCGTCCAGGTAGTCCGAGTCCGAGTCGCCGGCGGCCGACTGCAGTCGCTCCGAGTCCAGCGGCTCGGCGTCGGGCGGCGGCTCGGCGGTCGCCGACTCGGCGGGCGGGCGCCGCTCGCGCCGCGGCGTCAGCAGCTGGCGCAGGTCCTGGCGCACGCGCGCCAGCCCCTGCAGCACGCGCCGCGGGGACAGCAGCGCACGGCCCGGCGCCAGCAGCGGCAGCGACGGCCGCCGGCCGGGCGGCTCGGCCGGCGGCGGCCGCGACGGCGGCGTGGCGTCCGCGGCCGCCCGAGAGGGCGACGGCGTGGCGTCGGCATCCGGCCGCGCCGTCGCCGCCGCCGCCGCCGTCGGCAGCTCGCAGACGGAGCGGCGCACCTCCTCCAGCGTCATGTGGATCGGCTCACCGTGCGCCGGCCGCTGCAGGCTGAACAGCGCCGGCTCCGTGTCCAGGTCGGCGTCGCCCAGCTTACTGATGACGCAGCGCGGCCGGCCGGCCGGCTGGTCGCTCAGCGTGCGACAGTGAGCGGGCCGCGGCGGCGGCGCCGGCTGCGGCGTGCCGCCGCCGGCCGAGCGGCTGCCGGCCGGCCAGGCGGCGGCGCCGCGCTCGGCGCTCGGCGTCAGCTGATAGCGCGCCTCCGCCGCCGCTGACGACATCAGCCGCTCGGCCAGCGAGCCGGCGAACTCGACGATCGGCGAATGGACGCTGACGGGACGCGGTTTGGTGAGGGCCAGCGTGCTCGGCCGTCGCATTGGCCGGTCCTCGTCCATCGCGGCTGCAACGACAGGCTGCGCTTACACTTCTGATTAAATACCAGGTTTCAAAAAGGAAGCATGACAATATGCCAGAAGTACACACAGTGAGCTCAGTGTGAGGTACAGTTGCCAATATATCTACACGATCAATGAATGACATGAATGTACGAATCACGGCCATTACATCACGTCGTCGTCATTGGTGTTTTACAAAGCACCCAGCTTCTGAGGTTATATGGCGTCGCCTGTCTCTCACCCTGACGGAAGGGGCGGACACAGCGGGGAAACGAACCCCGCACCTTTGGTTCCAAGACGGACAGTGGTTAGCTTGTCTGCATTAACCACTGCAACGCCAGTGCCCAGTAATCCCGTTACGCATGAACAGGGGGAATGGGGGAGGGGTAATCGAGTAAACAGAAACGTAATAGGGAAGGAGGGTGGGTTTTGGACAGTGTACCACTACACTCAGGCGTGGATGCAGATCATGCTTGTCCTCCATGACAAATTCCAACCGAAATATATGATAATCTTAGCTTTCTCTCATAACACAGAACATGCCAACATTTCTTTTGACCCTCTAGCTCGGACAAAATAAACATAAATTTTTGGGTCATTACATGTGATGTGGTATGACCATGAGGAGAGAGCTGAAATGGCCAAAAATATCCATGTACTTTATGGATTGCTGCTCTACACATCACATCCTGACAATTTTTTCAATAGTAGTTTTGCTCATTGGGCATGACACAGCCAAACATGAAAGGAAAGAAGCAAGAACTTTTGCCTCGTCATTGAAACACAATTATTGAGAAAGCTTCTTCCTTCCTGATGCAGACTCAGAAGATTTATTCAACATTTATACTTCTTTCTCATCACATGCCTGGAACCACCAGTTCATCAAATGTCATTCTGTTATATATAGTTGTTTTACTATAACTGTTTTTAAGATATGCGGTGACAGAGCCTTTCTGCAACCAGAGTGGCGAGTGGATATGCCAGGTCTCACCACTTTGTTGCCTACCATGATGTAAAAATATTTTGGGATCAAATATTTCTTATAATAAATGGAAAACTACCAGTTGCGTACCAGCAAGAGTTCAAGGAAGCCAATATATTGATTGGAGTGTTGCACACAAAAAACGAGTGTGAGCTTAGAAGTGTCATTGTGAAAGATTGAGTCAAATCATATCAAAGGACATCAGTGTTGGAAAACTTGACATTTCCGGGTATAACGTGTACCAGATTTTGTACTCCAGGATTGTGGCTTAGTAAAATGAAATATTTTGTACTCATGATGATGCAGCAAGAACAGACAGCAAGATCATGATGCAGCAAGAACAGCTTTTGGAAAACTCATTTTACCTCTTTGTGTCGGAACAAAATAAAACCAGAAGGTGCAACAGCTTGAGACTTGCTGCTCCCATCATGAGCCATGTATTGACATCTGCAAGAGCACAAATATCGCACCCATCAGACTAAGATGCCCAATGGCAAGCAGCCTGTGTTGCCACCTAGGTATCAACTCAAACTCAAACGTGACTTAACCTACCACTGACGACGAACCGCATGAATTGCTAAGGATGCAACGAACATTCATAGAAAACCGCATGCCCAATCACCTATCGCAGACGGCCGCCTACCCACGCGCCACCACTGTGTCATGGCAATGCAAATAAGAGAATCACTCGCAATTCAGCGTCGGAAACGTCTCAACTATTCAGCGGCTTGTACCTGCCTCCCAGCTCAGGCTGGAGGTTGAACATAGCAAAACTGTCCAATTGGTTTTAATGACTCAGCTCCTCATGACTGATTTGTCAAGAACATATATATTCTGATCGCACTGATGCCTTGAACAGATTTGTAAACCTTTGGAGGGACGCTGTATAGAGATGGGCATCACGATTATGAAGGACTCATTTGTGCTCATCCGCCATGTGGTTGGATTTTTGGTCACTTCATGGTATCTAGAGTACAAAAATGCTATGGCAGTTGTGGATTTAAACCACGTTAAATTTGTCAGTTAATGGTATGAAAGTAAAGTTGGTAATTCAGGCTTTACAAAAATACCATTTTAAGTCGAAAAACGTCGCTATAACTAGCCAAAAAACTGTTCAGGGAGAAACATCTCACTCCAGCAAAAACATCAGGACACCAGAGTAACATGAACACATGACTTAAGCCCGGCAAATTACGGAAAGGGGTTTATTAGGACAAAAAATAAATTAATTGTAACATAAATTATCATATTTTGCAATGACACCGGTTAAAGCGCATCAAAATCCATAAACACTTTGCATTATCCGCCGGAGTCAGCGGAGTGACTGACTCCGATCCCTTATGGCCAGCCTTCACGTGTCTGTTAGGCATTGTACTTGCGCTGGCTCAGTAAACCAGCAAGAGTGCTGCCTGTCTCTACTGGTCGGGTGGGACGTGCAGGGCCTCATGTGTCGACCAGGAGTGGGAAGGTGGAGGGCATGAATGTTTAGCTGTTTTTTTAAAGCCAGTTAGCTGGTGGAGCATGAGTAGTGTGACCGTGGTGGAGTGTGAGTAGGTGGCCATCTGTGGCATGTTCATTTGCATTCGTTGTGTACCATTTTTGTCTGGCTGTGCGTATGGTACCCATCCTCCTTTTTGGAGGGTGCATAAGCCCGGTGTGTAGCCAGCCTCCATTTTGGAATGTATGAGCCTGATGCATAATTGCCATCTGTTTCAGAGGGTGTATACACAGAGCCTTTCATAAACTGCAAACCAATGTATGTGCACATGTGTTTCACAGCACTGAGTATGAGACTGTGTTGTTTCATTGTGCCATGCTTAATACTGATGCTTTCTTTCATTTAAGGTGCTTTCACATGAATTACTGTATATGAAAAGTGGCACTTCTGTTGAGTGTCACCCATTGCAATATTATTTCTCAAAGATGACCTAAATAAAGCTGTGGTGACCCCCAGCAGTTGGGTATAATTTATTTCTGATATTATTGTATAAATTTACAATTAATTATTTATGTCTATAATTATTTAATCACAATACAAAATAAAAATGAATAATATACTATAAAAATATACACACCACAAGGATATTTTTGTACTTGATTATATAAAATTTGTACTCCGCTACCAGGAAAATTTTTGAATTTCCAAAACTGAAGGATGTCCCAAAACTTCAATATGAAGATTTGTCCAAGAAATTTGAATGCCCCAGAATGTTGCTATGTGATGAATGATAACCAATGCTTAAATTGGGACCCATGGAACATGACAGAATGCTGCTTCTGAATTGCACAATCATGAGTTTAAAGAATCATGCTGCATTGCCCATACAGCATCACAGCTGAGATGTGTAAATAAAGCATGCAGCATCCACCCCTTTATGCAACTGCATCTCTGCTGATCTCTGCATGTGCATCTGTGTGCAAACCTGAACTATATTAACTGTTCACCTGTTGCTGCTTGATCCTGAGCCCTGATATCTCATTCGTCCAACCATTTGTCCAACCCAAGGCACTCAGGCACTGGATTGACCACAGCCTGACTTGATTCTGGCCAGGGGTGAAAAACACTTTTAAAAAAAATCCAGATTAAAATCCCTGCCACCCAATTCCAGCTTGCATTTACCCATCAAATGTGATGGAAGCCCATGCAGCATTAATGAGCTGAACTTCTCATGAATACACACTTAACTTTAGCTGCCAGCCAAACTTGGCATACTGCATAGCATACTGGTAGCATATTCAGTATGCTACCAGGAAAATCTTGGGAATTTCCAACCCTGTTAGCTAGGCCTAATTTTGCAAATTTTAGCTACCATTCTCTGTGAAATACTTTCAGATTTTCCATCCTGAGCTTGCCTACCTTACCTTACCTCAGGGTGACCAGGAATTATAAAAGGCCATTAGGCCTGCCAGTTCCAACCTGGTCACACTACCCAATCAGTAACCAAACAGTCTAAAATTACAGATAAGCCCTGTGCAGGATATAATAAATGATGTTTGCCCAGTAAATATAAGCCCAGACTTGGACTGTTCCAATGAGGTTGACAAGCATCATAATGTATTGTGCCATTGACGCCATGAGATTAAACTGGGGGCAACCATGTGGCAAACTGTGGAAGCCTGGATTTATAGTGCACCTTAACCTAAACTGTTTCTGCAATGTTACCATCATGCTAGAAGTGTTTGGTCTAATACATATTTTCCCGCCAGACCCAAATGGCTGCATACAGAAACATTGCAACTAACCACTCCCTGCCCCAGATTCAATCACGAATATAAAGGAAGCAATACATATCTTCACCTGAATACCAAGCATT